TGTATAAGCAGATCTTTTCGGTGCCTAACCATTATTAAGCATTAGGTCTTTAAAAAAAAAAAAAAAAAAGTGAATTTTGGTGAGACTACTTGTAGAGTTTTATCCCTTCCCTCTGGTTGGCAAGTTATAAGCATTCTCAGGAGTCTTCCTGTTGAATGGTTTCTAGGATTTTTTTTTGTCACATTTATTTAAAATCTCTATCATTCTTTCAGCAATCATTTATATGTATAGAAAAAACTTGATGCCAGAACTGAGAAGTCAGTAGACTCTAGGAGAGTCCCAGTAACAGAGGGATGGTTCTACAGATTCCTCTACTTGAAGGCTCGCTCACACTCAACTACTCAAAAAACGCAGTCTCCTAAATGTTCAAGGGTTATATAACTGTGTCTGAAACTAATGGCCATGGATAAATAGAAAATGAAACTTACTGTCAAAGTAGAAATTTCTCACAAAGATAGTGGTTTTAAAATATAAGGCAGAATCATAAAGTTAAATTTAGTAAGCTTTCAGAAAAATCACTCCTTGGAAACTTGATTTTTTGAAAACATGACATTTTTGGACTCAAACTTTTATAATGTTAAATTAAGACAGGTAAAGATTTTGACAAGAGCTTTAAGGTGTATTTCACACACATTAGATGTGCTGCAGATATTTTGTGACTCACATAGGCAAATCCCCAAGTTAAAAATGGTTTTACTTATACAAGTAAGCTTTTTAAAGCAGTCTCCAATATACTCTTGTGGGATCTGTTGGGGCACGAGGGGAGGGAAGAAAAGGGCAGAATTTGTGAAAAGCATGACTGAGGGTTGTTTAGGATGGCAGGAGGAGGTAGTTTTGTGGGAACACTGAAAGGTTAGGCATAACTAGGCACCCCCACAAACTCCTTCCTACTGAATTTTATTTTGTTTCAGCAGGTTCTGCTTCTTAAAATTCTACCACTTGGAGGTGCATTTGAATTTAGAAAGCCCCTTTAACAGATGTGAATACCTTTGACCTTTTAGAGGTATTTTCATTTGTTTATTATGTTTACTTGAGATCACCTGTATTGGAAGATGGAAATTTTGATTGGGTTGGAATGGAGTTAGGTAATTTTGGTGTGTAGAGAGCACTTGGGGGAGGTGACAGTAAGGAAGGTCATACATATTACTTCAAATATTTGAGCGTCAGGTGCTGTGTTGGGTTCTGAGAGATGAATTTGATAGATGGGATCTCTGCACTCCTGTGCTTACTGTTTGCTGAGGCAGGCTGGCAAGTGGTGATACACATGAAAGAATAAGGAAGAATAGATGCTATGACTGAGTTGGACAGAAAGCTAAAGTATGGTGTATTTTCTGGTTTTGTTGATATTCATAGAAGTGTATGAAGTCATTGGACTCTGAAACATCTCCAGTATAACACCTTAATCTTGGCTAATCAAGTGATATTTCTGATAGCTGAGGATGCCTGCAAATAAAGTATTTTCTTTAGTTAAAACTTTGTTTTTATTTTTAACATAGTTGAACAAGTCAAGCATATATGGAAATAAGACTAGTAGAGTATTGTTAAAAACAGACTGGCTTCTGGGAGAGAGCATGGAATTTTGAAGTGAACTGAATTGAATTGCAGAATCAGATAAGCATCGTAGGTAGAATAACAAGGAATTTTGGTGCCTTGTTTGGTCAGATATTAAAAATTTTGGTCCTGTGGACTTATTTCAAGGGAAACTTGAAGTTCCTGCAAAGGATCTGTATACTGTATAAAATCTAGGCCTTAATTATCAATTTTATTAGACTGAAAGTACATCTGCACATAAGTAGATACTAGGGGCTACTCACATGAGGTTAGACAGAGGTCCCTGGGTGATGCAGACAGCATGCTTGACTGACAGAGAAGGTCTGATGATCTACAAGGGAACTTTAAAGTTCATGGAAAAATGGAATCAAAACATAATTTTTCCATGAACAGTTTGAAGCCTCCCTTGTACTTCTTTGCAGGAGCAGACAACCTCATCTTTCTCCCTGAGAGTGGCTTAGGTTTCAGTCACCAATTTTGTGGTTAGCAGCCCAATGCTTATCTGACAGTGCCACCAGGGTTCCTTACATCTGGTACTTTTATTTGGAAGGTTAAATAAATGTTAGCTGCCAGCAAGTCAGTCCCTGCATCATGGCGGCCCTGTTCAATGTTGGATAAGATCATTGTAATTTGTAGGCTTCTCATTGGCTGATTTTCAGAAGTAGGTTGCCAAGACTTTCTTCCTAGTCTGTTTTAGTCTGGAAGCTCTACTGAAACCTATTTAGCATCACAGCAACATCCAAGCAGGCCTTCACTGACAGGTCTCCTGCATGGAGGGTAGGAATGCTGCTGTTGAACTGCCAGTGCTCCAGATGTTATTTCAGATGCCCTGACTTTATTCAGCCAACCCCCCACTACTCAGAATTCTGTAATTCAGTTTATCATAAGAGCCTCTTCTCTATTCTTGGGTTTCATGCTCAAAAATCATCTTCCTTTACTCCCTTCAGTACCTACATTCTGACTTCGGCCTCTTTCTACTTTATTCAAAATTCCGTGGGTCATCTCATCTGCTGTTATGGCCTCCCTTCTCTGTATGCTGGTGATTTCCAAAACTGTTTGTACCTGAGATTATTGACTTGAACAGAAGACCCATATGCCCAATTGCCTCCTAGATCTGCTTTCTCAATGAAATAGTCACTAGCCACATGTGACTATTGAGCACTTGAAATAAGACTAATCTAATGTGTGGCACTGAAGGATCAGCACCGGACTGCAAAACACAAGGTTGGCAGTTCAAATCCACTAGCAGCTCCTTGGAAACCCTATATAGGGTTGCTATGAGTGGAAACTGACCTGATGGCACTAAACAACATAATTAAAATGTATACCGTATTTTGAAGACTTTTAGTGAGGAAAATGAATGTAAAATGTTACATTTATTATTTTTTATATTGATTACCTGTTAAAGGAGTCCTGGTGTGGTGCTGTAGGATAAGCTCTGGACTACTAAGTCAGTTTGAACCACAAAGTTGGTGGTTCAAATTCACCAGTCACTCCTTGGATGTCCTATACAGGGTCTCTGTGAGTTGGAACCGACTCAACAGCACTTAACAACAACAACAACAACCTGTTGAAATTATATTTAGATATACTGATTTAAATAATACATGTTATAATGGTAAATTTTACTTGTTATTTTTTAAGAGGGCAACCAGAAAAATTTAAATTATGTATGTGGTGACTTGTGTTATTTTTTTGTTGTACAGTGCATTTGTGTGTAAGTCAAAAAGTAGTGCTATTAGGGTCCAATACATACATGTATGGGTTTATTCTAAGCAAATTGTACTTAAACATGTCTCTGTGATCAGTGTATGGCAACAGAAAAGTTCTTTTGAAGTAAGTACACTTGACTTATTCTCACTGGGGTATCTTCAAAAGTAAGGTACAATCAAAATAGTGATGTCCTAGGGGATTTACCTGACCAGTTAAATTCAAGACGGAGAATTAAATTCAAGGCAAGAGAGATGGAAACACCACCTTCAGAAGTGAATATGTTGAGAAATAATAGCTTCACATTTTGATATTTTTGTTTAACAAAGTTGCTATGATTTTGTAGCAATTCTTTTTGACATTACCCTTGTGTGTGTGTACATAAAAGGTCTTCAAAAAGTTTGTGGACAAATTTCATTAAAATTTCATTTTCTCACAAACTTTCAAGAACCCTCCATTCTCTTCTCCCTCTCAAAATTCTGTCTCTTCTGTTCCTTATCTCAGTGGATAACTCTGCTTATGTTCTCAAAGTCAGAAACTTTGGAGTCATGCTTGATTCCTTCATCTGTCACAAAATCTATTTCTGCCTTTTAACATGACCCATGTACTTTTTCCCATTCCCACTACCATTACTTCAACTGGTGTATTCTTTTATAGATTTCCAAAAAACTATAAAATTTTTGTGGTACATTTACGTGTCTCTTACGCAAAGATATAAAAAATAAAATCCTCCCAATTTTTTATAGGGCCTTTATGGTTTCCTTCTTTTTATTTTTTAAATATATAAATATTAAGGAGTTTTTTTAAAAGTTCATGGAAAAATGGAATTAGAAAATAATGGAATTTTTCCATGGACTTTTTGAAATTCTCTTATATTTGTGCCAGTAGAGTTAATTTTGTTGGAAGCTACTATATAGCTAACTTTATTTTTATAAGTGCATACGCAGCGTCTCAACACTATTGAAAATTTATTTTTATCCTATTGATTTAAAATTCTGTTATGAATTATCAAATTTCCATGGGCTTTGACTTTTTTATTAATGTTTTATTCTGTTCCATAGATTTATGTGCTGTTCGTGTGGTAGTGCCATCTTGTTTTATTATTGCTGCACCATACATTTGATTATTGGGTGGTACTAATCTCCTCATTGTTTTTAGAACTTTCCTATATTACTTAATTTTTCATCTAAGCTATAGAATCAGGTTGTCTGAGTCCCTCCTGAAGTCTACTGATAGTTTTATTCATTTGATTTGAATTTATAAATTAATTTAGGGAGAATGTAGCAGTAGTAGTTAAGTGTTGTCGAGTTGATTCTGACTCATAGTGACCCTGTATAGGGTTTCTGAGGAGTAGATGGTGGGTTTGAACCACCGACCTTGTGGTTAAAATTGGCCTTGCAATCCAGGGCTTATCCTACAACATCACATCAGGAGACCTCTGTAATACTGTTTTCTTATCCAAGATTGTGGTCTGAATGTTTTTCCATTTGTTCTAGTGTTTTGCCATTTACTATATCTTGATCTTGTACTTTAAAATATTATTTATAAATATTTTGGCTTTTAAGAATTGTGGTTGGTGTTGCTAATGAATCATTTCTGCTATTGTATTTTTAACTGGCTATGATTTGTATTTTGCTGTTACCATTCATTTGAGTCCACCGGCCACTCTGCAGGAAAAAGATGAGGCTTTCTTTTCTAACAAAGATTTGCAGCCTCAGAAACCATAAACAAGATTGTTAATGGTCAAACAGAGTCAGTGGCACTTAACAGCAATAATTTCTTAAGCGAATTATTGTTAAATGTTTCTAATAGGTTCTCCTTCCTCCGTTTCTCCATACTCTTGCCAGAGATTTTTGTAAAACATAAATAAAATTGTATCTTTCATTCCCTTACTTAGAATACTTTAATTCTTTACAACTTCAGAATAAGGTTTATATCCTTTGACATGATATTAAGATTATGATTGACCTTTGGTTACATATTCAGCTTCATCTCTCTAATGCCAGTGAGTATTATAACTTTTGTACATTGTATGACTTAATTTTTTATACTTTGAATAATACCAAAAATGGATTATTGCCATTTAGTTTGAATAGCTTCTTCAGTCATACCTGCATACATAAATTGGTTCAATGATTGAACTCAAAAATTCAAATAAAATTCTTGAGTTCACGAATTGTGCGTGTGTTTTGTTTTTAAAGTGAGGATGAGGATGATGATCTACAGTATGCTGATCATGATTATGAAGTACCACAGCAAAAAGGATTGAAGAAACTTTGGAACAGAGTAAAATGGACAAGAGATGAGGTAATTATGTGACAAGCTTTACTAATTTCATTCATGTATTTATTAACAGTCAGTAGTTTAAACATACCACCCGTCCCTAAGAAACCCTTTACCAGGGTTGCTATGGGTCGGAACTGACTCAATGGCACATAACAACAAAAACAATAAATGTGAACTACACCCTAAAACAAAATTTCAGAAAAGTTATCTATCACCAACTTGAAAAGTTTTTTTCAGCCACAGAAGTGTTTTATTCTTCAACCAATAACAGGTTGATGTTGGCCTTGACAAAAACAAGATAGTGAATGGGGGGAACTTGTAGCTTCAGTCCTTCCAAATTTAGTGATTAGATGTGAAATAAGAAATGGAGACATATATAGATAAAGGTAAGTCAAAAAGTATTGCTACTAGGGTTCCAGTTTCTAGGTGCATGAATTTATTCCAAACAAAATGTGTTTAAACATGTCTTTGTGATTAGTGGATGCCTATAAAAGTTTTTTCAGCAATATGTTTGTCTTATACTTGTTGGGGTGCCTTCATAAAAAAGGCTATTAAAAAAAAAAGTGTTGCATGATGATCAACTAGTTCAAAGAGTTCCATGTTTCTACCAGTCTTTTAAGCAATATCGAAGCTAATGAAGATGAGTGTCTGAATTGTAACCAGGGATAAGTCTTGGGTTTACCAGTATGATCCAGAGAGCACATGGCTTCCAAGGGGATCTGCTGGGCCAGTTAAATTCAAGACAGATATTTAGCCTAGAAGGTTATGGCAATTATTTTTGGGAATTTGAAAAGGGGTATCTTGATAGATTTTCTAGAAGAACACAGGACAATCACAGGAACTTATGAAGAATTAATAAGAAAATAGAATACTACGTTGGTGAGACAAAGGCCAGGAATGTTGCATTGAGGAATCTTTTTTCCATCATTATAATGTTCTTGCTCATTCTTCGAGGATGACAAAGGCTTTCTTATGATATTTTTATTGGGAAACCTTACCCCATCGTACAGTCTTGCTCTTGCCTCTTCAGACTGTTTTGCTTTACAAACTCAGCATTTCAACAAAATACTATTTGAGTTCCTCCCTCAAAGATGCCAAAATTGCCATTTTGACATTGTGTAAATTGAAGAGTATAGCACTCTTCTGGTAAGGGTTGTTGTTGTAGTTAGGTGCCATCGAGTTGGTACTGACTCATAGAGACCTTATGCACAGCAGAACGAAATACTGCCCGATCCTATAAGGTAAGAGTTAGAGACATGGAAACACCACCTTTAGAAGTGTATGGGCCTATGTGGAAGGTATGGCAAGAAACAGTAGCTTCACATTTTGATATTTTTGTTTAATAAAGGTTGCCATGATTTTATAGCAACATTTTTTTTTTTTTTTTTTTACTTACCCTCGTATTTGAGGTAAGAAAAATGGTGTAGGGAAGAGCCTTCTAATTTTCATATCTGTGTTAATAGGATGATAAGTTAAAGAAGTTGGTAGAACAACATGGAACTGATGATTGGACTTTAATTGCTAGTCATCTTCAAGTAAGTGAAACATCTTTAATATGGCTGATTTAGGCTACTCCACTTGGTTGAATTAGCTGATATAAAAAAATGTAAATGTTTATGTGTTTTAGATTTAGGTTTCCTTCTCTATTGTTCTTATGTGCCTATAGTTGCTAATGGCTTAGCAAGTCTTAATTTTCTAGTTAGACCTTTATCTAGAAGCCTTGACAGGATTATTAATCTAAAACAAAGATATCATATTTGAATAAAGCTTTATAAATATTTGCTGACATGTATTGAAATATTTTGAAAGAAGCCGAAAATAATGAATTATTTTGAAAGCTAATAACTGCCGAATCAGAAGTTTTGTTAAAAAAAAGCTTGTCATATAAGACATACATTTTAAATTGTTATTGATTTTTTTAAAATTATGATTACTGTTCACCATTTGCTGTCCACATACTATTAATGTAATTTTATAATTTATAAAGTATTATCTCACATATTTTTATTTGTTTTTACTATACTGTTGGTAGTTAGAGAAAATGTTTATATATGGATTTTGATGTTGACTACTTTGGGTTTTAGAAACCTAAAGCAATGTTCTTTTCAAATTTTTTATATATATTTTTTTATAACATAACCTGAAAATGAAGACCAAATACCAAAAAGAGCAAAGGTTTTAGAGTCAGTCTGAATTTCGAGATTTCAATACTATCACCTGTTTGATCTTAGAAAAATTACTTAACCTCTTTGAATCTTAGCTTCTTTATTTATAAAAGAGCTTGTTTGTATTAATGTTGTGAGAATCGGACACTTGTAAATAGAAGCGAAATAATTATTAAGAAGAGTTATTTACACTAACGTTGTCAGTATAAAATCAGTGGTATGAAACAAATGAGATTAACACATGCTCCAAGAATATTTTTTGAAGGAAGTGTGATGGCTTTAGATGGGATGGGCACTGACTTACAGAGCTAAAAGGAAGAAGCTCCGTATGAACAAAAGTCATTTGAATTTTATTGGGACACAAAATAGAGCCATTGGTTGACAAAGTATTTACATGTATCCCTTTATATCTGCTTATGTATGAACTAGTCCTTTGTATTAACTAATATCTTTTAAAATTGCAAATCATTAATGACAGGTTCTTGTAAATAGAAGTGAGCAGAAATAAACTAAATTAAGGCCTTATTCAGTAATTTTGGGGGTTTAAAATGTTTGTAGAACCCTCCAGGAGTGGGGGTGGGGTATCCATTTGCTCAGGTATCCCCTCTAGTTACCAGAATGGAGGTGCACAGTCAGGGAGAGACCAATGAACAAAGAAAAAAAAAAAAAAAAAAATCCACACCTGTATCTCCTTGGTTCTGTCAGGCGTTCTTGGCTGCTCTGATCCTTCCCCGACTTGTTTTCTCCCAAGATGGCGGCTCAGGAATAGCTGAACGTCTTGAATTAGAAATCAATGGATTTCTTGATTCTCTTGCAAAGTCCCCTAACTGTAAGCCTTCCAATCCTCTAAATATTCTTTTATATGCGGTTCAGAGTTCCAGCACCATCCCTTGAGCCTGCTTGGCCCACTATTCTGTGTTGTTATTGATAGAGCTCCTCACTACACATCTACCCTCTCTGCTATCTTGATACAATCAAGGAGGGTTCTACTACGCAGGCGCACAGATCTCCTCGAAATTTAAAGTGACAGTTTCGACATAAAAACAAACTGCCACCACTCGTCTGTCTGTCGTGCTGTGGTGGCTTGAGTTGCTGTGATTCTGAGGGCTATGCCACCGGTATTTTAATAACCAGCAGGGTCATGCATGGTGGACAGGTTTCAGATGAGCTTCCAGACAAAGACAGACTAGGAAGAAAAAGTGACGAACTACTTCCAAATCGTTAGTCACTGAAAATCTTATGAATAGCAGAGAAACACTGTCAGATACAGTGCCAGAAAATGAGCCCCTCAGGTTAGAAGGCACTCAAAATGCAACTGGGGAAGAGATGCCTCCTCAAAGTCGAGTTGACCATGATGACGTGAATGTAGTTAAGCTCGTGGAAGAAAAGCCCACAGAACCTCATTTGCTGATGGGGCACAACTGAAAATGAAGGCATTGAAAATCGGAACATGGAATGTATGAAGTATGAATCTGGGAAAATTGAAGGTTGTCAAAAATGAAATGGAACGCATTAACATAGGTATTTTAGGCATTAGTGAGCTGAAATGGACTGGTATTGGCCATTTTGAATCTGACAACCACATGGTTTACTATGTAGGAAATGACAAATTGAAAAGGAATGGTGTTGCATTCATCAAAAAGAACGTACCCAGATCAGTCATGAGATACAACGCTGAATGTGATAGGATAATATCCATGCGCCTACAGGGGAGTCCAGTTAATATCACTATTATTCAAATTTATGCAGCAACCACTAAAGCCAGTGAGGATGAAATAGAAGAATCCTACCAAGTTCTTCAATCTGAAATCGATCAAACATGTAATCAAGATGTATTGCTCATTACAGGTGATTGGAATGCAAAGGTTGGGAGCAAAGAGGAAGAACTAGTAGTTGGAAAATATGGCCTTGGTTATAGAAATGATGCTGGAGAATGCATGATAGAATTATGCAAAACCAATGAGTTGTTCATTTCAAATACCTTCTTTAGCTAGCATAACAGACGGCTATACACATGGACCTCACCAGATGGAACACATAGAAATCAAATTGACTACATCTGTGGGAAGAGAAGATGGAAAAGCTCCATATCATCAGTGAAAACAAGGCCAGGGGCACACTGTGGAACAGACCATCAATTAGTCATATGAAAATTCAAACTGAAACTGAAGAAAATGAAAACAAGTCTACGAGAGCCAAAATATGACCTTGAATATATCCCACCTGAATTTAGAGAGCATCTAAAGAACAGATTTGATACATTAAACACTAAAGAGCAAAGAACAGAAGAGTTGTGGGATGATATCAAGATTATCATACGTGAAGAGAACAAAAAGTCATTAAGAAGACAAGAAAGAAGGAAAAGGTAAAAATGGATGTCAGAAGACACTCTGAAACTTGTTCTCCAGTGTAGAGAAGCTAAAGCAAATGGAAGAAATGAGGAGGTCCAAGAGCTGAACAGAAAATTTCAAAGATCAGCTCGAGAAGATAAAGCCAAAATTATAATAAAACGTGAAAATATTTGGAATCAGAAAACCAAAAAGGAAGAACACACTCAGCATTTCTCAAGCTGAGGGAACTGAAGAAAAAGTTCAAGCCTCAACTTTCGTTATTGGAAGATTCTCTGGGCAAATTATTGAATGATGCAGAAAGCATCAAGAGAAGATGGAAAGAATACACAGAGTCACTGTACCAAAAGGAAATGGTTAATGTTCAACCATTTCAAGAGGTACGATGTGATCAAGAGCCAGTGATACTCAGGGAGGAAGTTCAAGGTGCATTGAAGGAATTGGCAAAGAAAAAGGCACGAGGAACTGATGGAATAAAAATGGAAATCTTTCAAGAAAGTGAGGTGGCACAGGAGGCACTCACTCATCTTTGCCAAGAAATTTGGAAGACAACTATCTGGCCAACTGAATGGAAGAGATCCATCTTTGTGCCCATTCCTAAGAAAGGTGGCCCAACGGAATGCAGAAATCGTTGGACAATCTATTTGATATCTTAAGCGAGTAAAGTTTTGCTAAAGGTAATAAAGAAACAGCTACAATCATACATCAACAGAGAACTTCCAGAGGTTCAAGCTGGATTCAGAAGAGGCCGTGGAATGAGAGATATGATTGCTGATGTCGGATGGGTCTTGGCTGAAAGCAGAGAATAGCAGAAAGATGTTTACCTGTGCTTTATTGACTATGCAAAGGCTTTCGATTGTGTGGATCAAGACAAGCTATGGACAACATTGCGAAGTATGAGTATTCCAAAACACTTAATTGTACTCATGAGGAATCTGTACTTGGACCAAGAAGCAGTTGTTCGACCAGAGCATGGGAACAATGAATGTTTTAAAATTAAGAAAGGTTTGCAACAAGGTTGTATTCTTTCACCAAACTTATTCAACCTGTATGCTAAGCAAATAATCCGAGAAGCTGGGTCTATGAGAAAAACGTGGCATCAGGATTGGAGGAAGACTCATTAACAACCTGCGATATGCAGGTGATACAATCTTGCTTGCTGAAAGTGAAGAGGACTTAAAACATTTACTGAGGAAGATGGAAGATCAAAGAGCACAGCCTTCAATATGGATTACATCTCAATGTCAAGAAAACAAAAATCCTCACCACTGGACCAATAAACAACATTGAAGTTGTCAAGGACTTCATTCTTCTTGGATCAACTATCAACACACGCGGAAGCAGCAGTCAAGAGATCAGATGACGAATTGCATTAGGCAAATCTGCTGCACAGGAACTTTTTAAAGTGTTGAAGAGCAAAGATGTCAGCTTGAGGACTAAGGTAATGCCTGACCCAAGCCATGGTATTTTCAATAACCTCATATGGATGCGAAAGCTGGATAGTGAATAAGGAAGATCGTAGAAGAATTGATGCCTTTGAATTGTGGTACTGGAGGAGAATATTGAAATTGCCATGGGCTGCCAAAAGAACCAATAGATCTGTCTTGGAAGAAGTGCAGCCAGAGTGCTCTTTAGAGGCCAAGAAGGTCAAACTTCGTCTCTCATACTTTGGACATATTGTCAGGATGGAACAGTCGCTAGAGAAGGTTATCATGCTTAGTAAGATGGAGGGTCAGAGAAAAAGAGGAAGACCCCCAACGAGATGGATTGGCCAGGTGGCAGCATCAATGGACTCAAGTGTTGCAACAGTAGTGATGTTGGTCCAGGATCGGACTTTGTTTTGTTCTGCTGTGCATAGGGCCGCTATGACTCAGTGCCAACTCAATTGCACCTAACAACAACAACAAAATGTTTGTACATCAGGTTTTTTTTTTTTTTTTTCTATCCTGGTAAATTCCTTTTCCTTTTAAACTTTGACAAATAATTGAAGCATAATGTACAAATTCTATATAGATATGCTTAACATTTTCTTGATACTTTAAGAGTTACCATTTAAAAATATCCTTTTAATATTATGTTGTTGTTGTTGTTTAGTGCCATCGAGTCAGTTCCAACCCATAGTGACCCTGTATAGGATATCTGAGGAGCACGAATCACTAACCTTGTGGTTCAAAGCAACTTTGCGGTCCAGCGCATAAACCCACAGCATCAAACTAATATGTTGTTGTTGTTGTTAAGTGCCATCAAGTTGGTTCTGACCCATAGTGTTCCTGCATAGGGTTTCCCAGGAGCAGCTGATGAGCTTGAATCGCCAACCTTGCGATTCAAACTGACTTTGCAGTCCAACACATTAACCCATAGCTCCACACCAGGACTAATAGTGTCTAATAGTGCCTTTGAGGGCTCTTTTTAAATTGTATAGAGTTATGTAATACTCTGCTATATGAATCCATACTACTGTGCTATTTGAGTTTGTATGTCTGCTTTTTACAATTTTCTATTTACTTTATTTCTCAAGCTTATTTATCTCCATTTCTTTATGGCAGTATCTGTATACTGGCTTTGTTACTTGCTGTATTATAACACAGACTCCTGGTATGGTGCTGTAGAATAATCACTGTACTGGGACTCACAAGGTTGGCGGTTCAAACCCACCAGGTGCTCCTTGGAAACCCTGTACAATGTTATTAAGAATTGGAATCACCTCTATGGTACTTAAGAGCAACAACAACATATTTTAACACACAACTTAAAGATACATACTCAAATTTCAAATATATACTGTTTTTATTTGTAGTCTAAGCATTACTTGTGGATTTAATTTAAAAATGAATTGGTACATAGGCATTAAATAGTACATGTTTAAAGCATGTTGTCAAATGCACTATTCTTAAAGACTTGGTTTTTAAAGTTAAGAGACATTAGATTTGGACTGGCTTGCTTTCTGAAAGACAATTTGTTCAATAACTAAATTCTCTAAATTCTTTTAGAATCGTTCTGATTTTCAGTGCCAGCATCGATGGCAAAAAGTTTTAAATCCAGAACTGATAAAGGGTCCCTGGACTAAAGAAGAAGATCAGAGGGTAACATGTTCATGTTTTTTTATGGATGTACTAACTTTTTTCTTCCTACTATGTTGTTTATGACACATATATCTAAATCACTTTGATTTTGTTTTCTGGCGGCTACTTGAATAAATATTGAATATTCAGTATTTTTAAATGTTCTTTTCTGATTTAAGTTAAGTGTCTTAGGTATTTAGCCTTTTCTTTCTGAGAGTTTGATTTGCAGAAGAAAAATAACCTTGCTTAGAGCTTAGCTGGGCAACATTCAGTGCACATTATCATGTCAAAAATGGAATGAACTTTTTAAAAAGGGATTTGCATTTTAGTTTTACATCTGGTAAATTTTATTTTTACATGTAATAACTTGACATGTAGAGAAGCCATTTCCAACTTTTTCTCTTGATCAAAGTAGACCCGCAAATAAGATCCAAGCATTATGTATCCAAAGGATTTGGTGATTTTTAAACCAAGGTAATTTATATGTACTATAAAAGTCTGAAAAGAATGGGAGAATTTCTGTCCTCCAGTGGGAATTGCTCTTGAGTTCATGCCCTTTATGGCATACAAGTTGCTAATGTAATTGGAGGAGAGCTGGAGTACCCTTAAATCCATTCAAGGTCCTGACTGATGCCAATGGTTTCTGCTCAATTACTAACTTAAAGGTTGGTGGTTGTAACTAGCACAGCAGTCCTGTCAAAGAAAGGCCCTGACAATCTGCTTCCTTAACAACTCCAGCCAAAAAAACCCTATGGAGAAATTCTACTGTTATACATGGGGTCACTATGAGTATTTGACTCAATGGTAGCAGGTTTGGGTTTTTGGTTTGTTAGCTATTATCACTCAAAGCCATGCACATGTGTACACATGTGCATAGGATCAGGACTGGTCTGATTTTCTTCAAATGTGTGTTCTGACTCTTTTTTTTGAGAAGTAGATACTTCCTACTTCCAAACTGATTTATTTGGTATACAGCTGAATTTTTTTTTTGTTAAAAATATACAAGTCTCAACACTTTTACTGTTATTTCAAATTAATTGTCTATGAAAGCAGTTCAACTTTAGTCCTTTTTGTATGTACATAATCTATTTGAACTTAGCAAATGCAGAAGGAGTATTTGTTAGTAAAATTATTTTTTGTACATTGCAATTATGAGTTTGATTTTAATGCATTTATTTAAAATAGTGTTTCTAAGTAATTTTTTTTTTTAACTCTATCAAGTTACTACTTTTTAACATGTTGTTTTTCTGTCTTTTAGGTTATTGAATTAGTTCAGAAATATGGGCCAAAAAGATGGTCTTTAATTGCAAAACATTTGAAAGGCAGAATAGGCAAGCAGTGTAGAGAGAGATGGCATAACCATCTGAATCCTGAAGTAAAAAAGTCTTCCTGGACAGAAGAGGAGGACAGGATCATCTATGAAGCACATAAGCGGTTGGGAAATCGTTGGGCGGAAATTGCTAAGCTACTTCCGGGAAGGTGCTTATATAAATGTTGATACATTTCTCTGTATTTAAATATTATCTGTATTACATTTCTGTTAAATGTATTTGTAAATCCTTCATGATGTATTTTATTTAGAGTGAAAATTTAATATTTTGAGACTATTTTAATAAATCCTGTGCTAAGGGATGTATAATTACTTTTTTTTTAACATATTTGAAAAATATGACTTTTATTTTACTAAATATCAAACACTGATTCTTATTAACAGGAAGGGAGCTAATACCACATTCTTTTCAGAACTTAAGACTTTTATTTTCGTGTCTAACATAAGGTATTATAGTCTAGATTAGCTTCTTTTTTAAAATTACAAATTTCAAGACTCTCTCATTTCACTTCTTTATCCTTTTCTAGATTTTTCATGTTTCTAAAAATGCACAACATATCAGTTGAGATGATATTTGGCTATAACAGAGTCGCATCATGGAAAGTGGTTTATTTCTCTTCCATGTAAAAGGTGGCCAGGGGTAGGCAGTGACCATGCTCTCTCTGGCTGAGCAGCATCAGGAGTCACCAGTTTGGAATGACAGTCACACTCTCAGGACACAATACGCTTTGTCGGACGGGATCTGACACCAGGCTCACTGAACATCGTGGGATACAGAGTAAACGCAGCTTGGCAGCCCAGCAGCATCAGGCTTTTTTCAGCTCGAGGAACTGCTACTCTAGTTTCCCAACACTCACACCGTGTGTCACAAGCCAACACCATGGCAGCTACCAACAGAAGTACATTGCAATTTGTGACGCCTGTAATTGAACACTGATGCACTTAATTTAATAAAACATCCAAATGTAAAGGACTCACTAGAGAAGTGTCTCTGATTATTAAAATGGCTTTTGATTTGTTTTTTTAATTCAATTCATTCTGGTCTTAATAGTACGTAACTGCTGTATAAACTTATGCTATATTTGGGAAATGTCAACAGAAATAACAAAATAGATGAACAACTAGAAGCTACAGAGCCAAATATTTGACTTAAAAACTAAGTAAGTTCATGATTAGATATGAGAGACATTTCATCTCGGAGTAGATTCTAAGGCAGCATCCTGAGTTTCCATAAAAACAAAACCTTCTGTATCAAAAGAAGAGATCTCAATAAGAGGATCAGAGTCCTCTATTTCCAAGTGCAGTGATTTCCCCTGTTCATAACTCAGGTCTGAGTTCTCTTTCATTTGAATCTCTTGCTCCTTCAACTCCAAAGGTTTATCTGAGGCTGGAGCTACAACTTCTTCATCTTCATTATCATGTAAAAAACTACAAATCATGTTGAGTCTACTGGAGGAATCAGTATCATTGATTTGCAGCCACTCTACACCACCTATGGTTTCTTCTCCTTCTTTCTTTTCTGTCAGAAGAGTTCTTGTCATGCTGAGTTTCTTCATTGTATGGCATTTGTATTTTAACACTGTTTTATTGTTGCCTTCTGCATCCACATGTTCCTCCACATCTTCTTCAAATGTAACACAGGTCCCAAGAGTGTCTTCATATTCCCCAGCAAAGACATAGTTGTCCACTTGCATAATAGACCTCACAGTGTCAATGCCCAAAATCTTGCATTTATTTTCACATTTTGAGAGAAAGTCTGAATCAATAATTCCTGACACCTCCACCAGAATCAACTGCTCGTCTTCCTCTTCCCACTCTTCATGCCTCCGATCCTCGGTCGCTGCCATGATCCCATCGCTTCTGTGCCTCCCACTTTAATCCCTCCCTCTCACTGCCTCCATCTTGAGTTATAATTACTTTTTTTTTTTATAATTACTTTTTAAATGAAACTTTTATCACAAAAAATGATAGACTTTTAGATAATATAAACATCTAATATAGTCCCCAAATCATGTTTGCATATGAGCCCCAGCCAGAAAATCTATGTACAAATCAGTTGGAATGGAATTTCAATCTAAGAGATTTCTTTTATATTGAATTCTTTGCATAAGACCAGAGAAGAGCAAATGCAGGGACTGAAGTAAACTACTGTGGAAGTGTTTTAGGAAAAATTTAATTCTTAATTGTGATACAATTCCAACCCTGGGAATATATATATATATATATATATATATATATATATATATCCATGAGGCTAAGAAATGGAATTTCCCTCAGAGGAATTATGTGCTAAATGTACTATACTTTGTATTGGTTCAAATTTTACCAAACATCACTTAATATAATAGACTGACAGCCTCAGGAAAATTCATAGCTCCATTTTATTTTATAAAAATAAAGGGAACCTTAGATAAAACAGGAGTGAACTTTCTTTCCATAGGTATATATATTGGTCTAAGAAGTGAAAAAGAATTCTGAAATTCTGTAAATTGTGGTTTGCTTTTCATTACCATGCTTATTTTTGGCTTAGACCTTTGCCCTTACTATACTCTGTCTTCAGTGTTCCTTTTTTCTGTTCTTGTATACCTGGTTCTTTCTTGTCATTCAGATTTTTGCTTTATTGGCAGCTTTTCAGAGATGCCCTTTCTCATCACCTAATCACGATGACCTAATCATGATGGTGATGGTAGCTATCTGCCACTGAGATAGTTCTGACCCTGTGTAGGGTTCCAGGGCTGTAAATCTTTAAGGGAGCAGAAAGCCTCATCGTTCTCCCTTGCAGTGGTTGGTAGATTTAAACTACTGACCTTAGTGGTTAGCAGTCCAATAATCCACTATGCCATCAGAGCTCCTAAGATTACCCTACTTGCCTACTTTTCTTATCCTATTGAAATTAGTGTCTTGCACTGATACTTTTCTTATTGTTGTTTGTTTTTCTGTTCTTTTCTCATGCCCCACTGATCTACTTCCAATCTAGAACATAAGCTTCATGAAAGCAGGGACCTCCTTTTTTGTTATCCACTACTGTATCTCTAGTGCTTATAACTTGGCTTGGCATATGAAGGCACTTATTTAAATATGTAAATGACTAATTAAGTGATTTACTTCAAGTAAAACTTAGTTTTAGTATGTTTTTATTTATTTTATTATTGTTGAGAATATGCACAGCAAAACAGAAACCAACTGTTTCTACTTGTACTATTTAATGACATTGATTATAGTCATCTACCTTCCTTTCTGAATATTCCTCCCCTATTAACATAACCTCACTGCTCCCTAAGTTTCATATCTAATCTATTGAGTTACCATTGGCAGTTCAAGTTTTTAGTTTGTTTTCATTTTAGTTTTGGAATCAGATGATTTATCTTTTTATTTTAAAAAGTACCTAATTTCATCAATTGTTAAAATTTGTTTTTAGCATTTAGTGCAATTTATACAGTGTTAAAGTTTTTGGAATCTCCTTTTGTTTTAAATTATCCTCTTTCATTTTTTTAGGACTGATAATTCTATAAAAAATCACTGGAATTCTACTATGCGAAGAAAAGTGGAACAGGAGGGCTACTTACAAGATGGAATAAAATCAGAACAATCTTCATCTAAACTCCAACACAAACCTTGTGCGACTATGGATCATTTGCAAACCCAGAATCAGTTTTACATACCTGTTCAGGCACATATTTTTAATACCTTTATTATTTAAAACATTTCTTTAGTTGCTATATAGGAAGGTTGTTTTGTTTTTTAATAGGGTAGACAGAATATATATTAAGCGGGAAATAGATATTTAAATGAGGGAAATAGATATTTAAATTTCCTAAACTGAAAACTGATTTAAATTTTCTAAGCTTTTAAACTGAAAACTGTATGTGACAAATAGCTATTAAATTTTCAGTGGCGATTTTTCTCTGTTTTGATTGATAAATATTTTGGAACAAACTCATAAAAATGTTTCCTGTTATTTATAATTTTACTTTATCTAGTTAAGAGACTTATCAACATTTCCTAATACCATAATACTTTAAAGGAACTGTGGTAGCGTAGTGGTTACAAGTTGGGCTGCTAACCTCAAGGTCAATAATTCGAAACTATCAGATGTTCTGCAGGAGAAAGATGAGGCTTTCTGCTCCCGTAAAGATTTACAGCCTCGATACCCTATACAGGGTCACTGTGAGTTGGAACCGACTTCACGGCACACCACCACCACCACCACCACCACCACCATAATACTTTAAATCTTCATTTCTGATTACAAGCTAAAAGTCACTTGTGTTTTGGATAATTGCTGAACTGCTAACCACAGAAGTATTCTTAGTTTACTGTCACAGTATCTGTTGAAATATGATAGATTATGATTGCTTTTCTAAGAAAAGTAAGAGAATTCATCTGTTTCATATCTCTACTCAGAGATTGGCAAGGGTTAGACTTAAAGAGTAGGAGATATGAACTTTGAAAATCTGTTTTAGTCTTTGCCCACATGAGTGCTTCATATTGATCAAGTCCTTCTCTGCGAGATAGGAGTACATTTATTTTGTCTTCTCCAGAAGATAGAGCAATCCTATAAACACCATATTAACATAGATATATTTGGTAGATGATCGGTAGACCGATTGATAAATCTAGGCGAAATAATTCTCACACCTCAACTAGGAGAAGTTAAAGGTCTTTCTTGCATATTTGTAACAATTTAAGAAGGAGCCTTGCTAGTGCAATGGCTAAGCATTTGGATGTTAATTTAAAATATCTGTGGTTCAAACCCATCAGCAGCTCCACAGGAAAAAGACCTGACAAAAAAATTACTGCCTAAGAGCCCTTAAGAGGGCAGTTACATTCTGTCGTATAGATTCACTATGAGTCAGAATTGGCTCCAAGGTGCACACCAACAACATAACTAAAGAACATAGAATTTTAAGGACTTGAAATTTGAGATCCCAAATTAAATTAATGTATTTTGTACTCCAAACTTGGAGGAAAGATTAGATCAAATGTACGTTTTATTTTTCAATTGCATTGTCATTTGGTGAGCTGTCAGATCATATGATTTAAAAAGTTTTAATTGCTAGAGTCTAAAAATAGAGATGTCAATAGGTGAGAAACTTATATAAATATGAATTTTCAAAGTGAATCGAGAGGTACTTTCTGAATTTTTTAATACTGATTTTTGCTAAAAAATGTGTTTTGCTTCAGATTTAAGAAAAGTATATGGTGTTACATGTAAGATATTAATGATTTAATTACTTTTTAGATCCCAAGCTATCAGTATGTGTCACCTGAAGGCAGTTGTGTAGAGCATGTTCAGACTTCTTCTGCCTTTATTCAGGTAACTTTTTATATATAAGAAAGTAAAAAAAAGGAAATGCTTTAAAACATATTTTAGAAAGTCTGTTGTTGTTAAGTGCCATTGAGTTGGTTCTGACGTACAGTGATCCTGTGTAGGTTTCTGAGGCTGTATATCTTTGTGGGAGCAGAAAGGCTCATCTTTCTCCCTGAGTGGCTGGTGGGCTTGAAACACCAATCTTGTGGTTCTCAGTCCAGTGCTCACAGTATAGAGCTACTATGCTCCCTTAGAAAGTCTAATAGTTCCTATTTCCTCATATGTAAAGCTAGGGGCTAAACAAAAGGCTGTCTGTTCTATTTTCTTGAATATTATGATATTAAAGGAGAAAGTGCATAAGTGAGTTTGGAAAATAGAAAGTACATATGTAAGGTGTTTGAAAACCTTAGTCCTTTTATTCTTTCAACTTTTGTGTTCAAGTTGCAAATGGACATATTTTGCTAAATTGGTTAGAAATGTATGTGTTAAGATTCAGTAAACATACTTAAAAGGTAAAATTTAAAATTCATGTAGATGTGTTTGTTTTATGCATTTAAATTATTATAAATCTTTTCTGCTTGATTCAAAACATTTGTCAGCATCTTTTTAGATATCAGATGGATTGTGATATTGAATATTTACAATAAAGTATTGTTCAGTCATATTGGACTACTACCCGAAAGGCTGACAATTTGAACCTACCAGCCTCTTCATTGGAGAAAAATGCAGCAGTCTGCTTTCATAAACATTAATTTACAGTCTCAAACTTTAGGGAACACTATATTCTGTCTTCTACAGTTACTATAAGTTGTAGTCAGCTCAACAGCAGTGGGTTGAAACCTTTTTAGAGAAAATTGTGCATTGTTGTTGTTAAGTGCCATTGAGTCGGTTCTGACCCATAGTGACCATGTATAGGGTTTTCAAGGAGCGGCTGATGAACTTGAACCACTGACCTTGTGGTTCAAACAGACCTTGAGTTTGAGTGCTTATCCTAAGGTGTTACACCAGGAGTCGTATTACATAGAAGAGAAAAAAAGTAAAGTTTTAATAATATTAAACCAATTATTTAAGTAGCCTTTTTTTTTTTTTTTTAATTTGACTTATTTTAGCAACCCTTTGTTGATGAAGATCCTGATAAGGAAAAGAAAATAAAGGAACTTGAGTTGCTTCTTATGTCAGCTGAGAATGAAGTTAGAAGAAAGCGAGTTCCATCGGTAAGAAATAAGCTTAGGTGATTAGATATTATCATTAGAATCTTCCATATGTATACTTTAAAAAATGATTAAATATTCTGAACTAAGATGCTTATTGAATCATAAATGTTAAGCAGATTTATGGTATAATCTTTGATTCAGATTTGTAAATTTATGTGTGGTTTACATTAGGCTTTGATAAAACTATAGACATTTTTACAATTGCTTTACTGGAAAAAATAAAGATTAAAAAAAAAAAGAGAGAGAGACATAGAGATGGACTAATGGACTCCTGTTATAGCACTGTAGGATCAGTACTGGACTGCAGACGACAAGGTCAGCAGTTCAAGCCCACAAGCTGCTCCTTGGAAACCCTATACAGGAGTGTTATGAGTTGGAATCAGCTTGACAGCACTGAATAACAACAACATAGAGATTTATAGAAACCCTGGTGCCTTGGTGGTTAAAGCGCTTGGCTGCTAACCAAATGATTGTGAGTTTGAACCCACCAGCGGAACTGTGGGAGAAAGATGATAACCCTTGAGACCCTATGTGGCAGTTCTACTCTCTCCTACAGGGTCACTGTCAGTTGGACTCTACTTGATGGCAGTGTGTTTGGTTTTAAGTAGTTGTTATTGTTGTTAAGTGTTGTCGAGTTGATTCTGACCCATAGTGACCCTGTATAGGGTTTCCACGGAGCAGCTGGTGAGCTTGAACCACCGACCTTACAGTTCAAACGACTTTGCAGTCTGGCGCATTAGCCCACAGGCCACACCAGGATTCCTTTTAAGTAGTAGCATATATAACTTGTGAGGTTTAATGAAAAAATTTTAAGCCAATTTTTATGAAATATATATGCTACATTATCTTTCATCAAAATTGGTTTAAAATTTTTTCATTAAACCTCACAACCTAAACTATATATATTTTTTCTAACTGAATTAAAAATAAAAACAACAATCTGTGAAATCCTAATGAGATAAACCAAGTATGTAAATACAACATAACGATCAAACTCCTAGAAGCTGGCCTCATCTCTACCCTTCAAACTTGATTCCCAGCACTGTAACTCAAACCTCTCTCTAGGCATACCTTTTATTATTATTTTAAAAATTGCTATTGAGTTTATTCCAACTCATGGTGATTCTATATGACAGAATAGACCACTCCCTATAGGGTGGTAATCTTTATGGAAGCAGACTGCCACCCACATCTTTCTCTTGAGGAGCAGCTGGTGGGCTCTGCAGACGAGTGCTTAGCCACTATGCCATGAAATGAATGTGAAATTTCACTTGAAATAAAAATTTATGCTTATGTTGAAAATGACAACTAACACTCATATTTCTTTTTTAACTTTAGCAGACTGGAAGCTTTTCTAACTGGTCTGGTAGTTTCCTTATGGATGATAGCATGTCTAATACTCTAAATAGCCTCGAGGAACATACAAGTGAGTTTTACAGTATGGATGAGAATCAGGCTGCGTCTGCTCAGCAGAATTCACCCACAAAATTCCTGGCCATAGAGGCAAATGCTGTGCTGTCTTCTCTACAGACCATTCCAGAATTTGCAGAGACTCTAGAACTTATTGAATCTGTAAGTTGAAAATTGTGAGATTATCAAAAAGTCAGTTTTGCTTGCATGATTTCATGCTCAGAAACTCCAGTTTAACACCACCCATTTATATATCAAGGGTTAGTTGTATGCAGTGCTTCGTTTTGCTTTGATATTTTGCAATGTATGGCTTGTATAGAATTTAAAAAATACTTAAAAAAATTTGATTGAGGTAAAACATATATGATAATCATAATAAATGTTATAGATTGTCTGATGTTGCTTATCAGATATATACCAATTTTTTTCCTCCAGTCTACAGGTCCTCTGTGTTTTTCATTTAAATGAAGTCCCATTAACCTTGTTTGCCTTTTTAAAATCTATGACGCTCATGTCTTTGTGTCATATCTAAGAACTCAGTTGTAAAATCAAGATCTTGAAGCTTTATTTCTATGCCTTCTTCTAAGAGTTTTATGGTTTTAGTTATCTTATTTAGGTCATTGATCATTTGGAGCTAATTTTTGTATACTGTGTGAGACAGGGGTCCAACTTCAATCTTTTATCTGTAGAGATCCAGTTGTTCCATCACTAATAGTTGAAGAAACTATTCTTTTCTCATTAAATGGACCTGGTATCCTTATTGAAAATCAGTTGGCTGTATATGTGTGTATGGGCTTATTCCTGGATTCTTGGTTCTATTCCATTGGTCTCTATGTTTGTTCTTATATGATTACCAGACTGTTTTGACTACTGTAGCTTTATAATATGTTTTGAAATTGGGGAATGTGAGTTCTCTTTCTTTTTCAAGATTGTTTTTGCTATTTGGAGACCCTTGTAATTCCGTATGAATTTCCATTTCTGCAAAAAGGTTGTTAGAATTTTGATAGGGATTGTGTCAAATCGATTCACTGGCATGGGTGGTATTGACATTTTAATAGATTAAATCTTCCAATCCATAGGCCATTAATTTCTTTCAGCAATGTTTTATCATTTTCAGTGTATAAACCTTTGACCTTCCTGGTTCAGTGTATTCCTAGGTGTACTGTACTCTTTTATAGTTGCTATCATGTTTAAATTGCTGCCTTAATTTCTTTTTCAGCCTTTTCATTGCTGTTATATAAAAATGCAAATGCTTTTAGTGATTTGATATTGTATCCTGTAGTCGTGCTGAATTTATTTATTATGTCTAGTAGTTTTCTTGAGGATTCTTTGATTTTCTACATATAGAACCACATCATCTGCAAATGTAGTTTATTTCTTAACTTTCCAGTTTGTGTACCTTTATTTATTTTTCCTTGTTTATAATAGCTCAGTGATGCAAGTGATGGAAGTGAGAATCTTCATCTTGTTTCTGATCTTAGAGAGAAGATTTTAGTTTTTCCTCTTGAATATGATGTTAGTTGCAGGGTTTTGTGTGTGTGTGTGTTTTTTCCCCCATATTTATCTTTTATCATGTTGAGGAATTTCCTTTCTATTCCTAGTTTTCTGAGTACCAATTAGGTTGTGTGTGTGTAGGAGAGATATGTGTAAGCAATTAGTTTTTATTATGCAAATTATAAATGTACATTTAAAGAAAGCTGAAAACTAGACAGAACTGTAAAGAAGAAAGCTTAAATTCTCCATAAGTCCAGAGTTAATAATTTGATGTCTTTTCTCCGTATGGAAATACATATATATATTATACAAATTTGCATTTAAAAAAAAACAACTCAAAGTAGCTTCATGCCATATAGACACTTAACTATTTATGGTTTTGCTTTTTTAGTTGTTTTTCCACATTATATCATGAGCACGTCTTTACTTTTTTTCTTCAAAACTTGGCATTTAATGGACTCATGGTCATATTCTACTGTATGAATTTACCAAAATTTATAAAGTCAATATACTGTTATTATTGGATATTTAGATGGTATACACCTTTTCAATGTTATAAAAAATATTTGTAAAAGGTTTAATGCAAAGTTGTGATTATGTCCTTAGGTTAAATTGCATTTCTGGTTCAAAGTGTATAAACATTTTTTAAAGGTTTTCCATATACATTACATTACCAAATGTAAAAGTTGATGTGTTTTTCTGATATAAAGTAGAATATGAAGTTTTATGATAAGCTGTGTTTGATATATTCTATGACAATAAGTTAAAATAATGTGTTTCTTGTATTTTAAATACTTTCACAATTACTTTTAGCACCTGAATTAGATGAAATATTGTTTTGGAATGCTCTAAATTGGAGTTGTAGGAAAACATAATCTACTCTTTTATAAATGGTCTTGTATTAAAAAGGAAAGCCTATTTCTACTGATAATGAGTAATTAGTGCTTTAGAAATTACCATACTATGATCAAGATCAGATTTAACCAGGTTATAGCATTAACTTTAGTTAAAATTTTAATTTATTTCAGGATCCTGTAGCATGGAGTGATGTTACCAGTTTTGATCTTTCTGATGCTGCTGCTTCTCCTGTCAAGTCCACCCCAGTTAAGCTAATGCGGATTCAACACAATGAAGGACCTATGGAATGTCAATTTAATGTTAGTCTTGTACTTGAAGGGAAAAAAAACAATTGTAATAGTGGAGACAGTGAGGCTATTCCTCTAACTTGTCCAAATGTGGCCAAGTTTAGCACTCCACCGACCATCCTTAGAAAGAAGAAAAGAATGCGAGGGGGCCATTCCCCAGGCAGTGATCTTGGTGATGGCCCTTTCAGTGATGGTGGTAACTCAGCACTAAAACACACACCGGTGAAAACACTACCATTTTCTCCTTCACAGGTAAGTAGTGTTTGTTTGTTTGTTTGTTTTTCTTTTCTTTTCTTTTTTTTTCCGTGTTCCCAGAATGTTGATGAACTAGATTCAATTAGATCTTTACTATTCTTATCAGCAGTAGTTGATAACACATAACTAAACCAAAACCCCTGCCCTTGAGTCAATTCTGACTCCCAGCAACCCTGTAAAGGGATTCTGAAGCTGTAAATCTTTATAGGAGTTGAAAGACTTATCTTTCTCCTGTGGAGCAGCTGATAGTTTTGAACCACTGATCTTGTGGTTAGCTGTCAATGTTTATCTTACACCACCACCAGTATGCATGTGAATGCTAACCTCTTATAGATCAAAAGTATAGTCGTTTCATAATGCCATTGAATTTGGTGGCATCTTTATTTTTTTTAATACTTTAAAGAGGTCTTTGGCAGCAGATTTGCTCATTGCAATATGTCGTTTGATTTCTTGACAGTTGCTTCCATAGATGTTGATTGTAGATCTAAGTAAAATGAAATTGTTGACAATACCATTCTTTTCGGTGTTTATCATGAAGTTGCTTATTGGTCAAGTTGTGAGGATTCTTGTTTTCTTTGTGTTGAAGTGTAATCCATACTGAAGTGTGTAGTCTTTGATCCTCTTCATTAAGTGCTGCAAGTCCTCTTTACTTTCAACAGGTTAGGTTGTGACACCATAATATTACAACTTGTTAATGAATCTAACTCGAAGCCTGATACTGTGTTATTCATATAGTCCAGCTGCTCAGATTATTTGCTTGGCATACAGATTGAATTAGTATGGTAAAAGGATATAACCCTGATGCACACCTTTTTTTATTTTAAACCACACAGTTTCCCCTTGTTCTGTTCAAATGACTGCCTCTTAGTCTATGTACAGGTTCTGCATGAACACAATTAAGTGTTGCAGAATTCCCATTCTTCACAATGTTTTCCATAATTTGTTATGACTCACAACATAGACAATAAAACACAAGTGGACATCTTTCTGGTATTCTCTGTTTTCATCCAAGATCTGTCTGACATCAGCAGTGATATCCCTTGTTCTATGGCCTTTTCGGAATCCAGCGTGAATTTATGGCAGTTCTCCTGCAACTGTCTTTGATTTATCTTCAGCAAAACTTTACTTGCATATGATATTAATGATGTTTGGTAATTTTTGCATTTTGTTCAATTGCTGTTCATTTTAGTAGCCTATGATTTTTAGTGCTATAGAGGATTGAAAATCTTTTTAAATTTTTGTTTTGGTGAATATACATAAAACAGTATATACCATCTGAACAATTTCTACATATACAGTTCAGTAACACTGATTACATTCTTCAAGTTGTGCAATTATTCTTATTACCTAAGGGGGCTTTTGAGATATATAATTTCATACCTTTATAATGATCATCAGAGACCTGGTGCGGTGCTGTAGGATCAGCACTGGACTGCAAGATCGGCAGTTCAAACTCACCACATGCTCCTTGTAAACCCTATACAGGGTAGCTATGAGTTGGAACCTGACCCAATGGCACTTAACAACAACAACAACAATATAAGTATCATCAGTAAATATACCCAGAAAGAGAAAATGATTTGCCTACAATTATCTAGTGACAGAGTTAAGACTGAGATCTAGTTTCCTGACTTACTATTAAACAGATATACCTCAAAGGTACTGGTGTAGTGCTGTAGGATAAGCCCTTGGCCATAAGGTCAGTTTGAACTGCAAGGTCGGTGGTTCAAACTTACCAGCTGCTCCTCAGAAACCCTATACAGGGTCACTATAGTTGGAACTGACTAGATGGCACTTAACAAAAATGATGACCTCAACATTATAAAGAGATTTCAGCTGGGTAGAGTAATTTAGATTTTAGTCTACCTGTTGAGTTTTCCTTCTTAATGTACATTGAAAGAAATAGACTGCTCATTGTTAGACCATGTGTTAGTGTTTTCTAGTGATATCATAGTTCTCTTGTATTAATGTCCCCGGGCAGCAGATGTTTATATTTTGACAAATAGTACCTCTTATTTCATAATATCTTTCTTACTGAACACTTGCTGTATGCTAAATAAACACTTTTTGTACAGCATTGCCATTTTTTTTTAATCCTCTTTTAAAATACTTCACGAGGTAGATGAAATGAAATCCAGAGTTGGATTTCATTCCTGAACTTGTCCAAAGGAGTGGATCTTCTTAATACAGGTTAAAACATTTTATGCAGTGAAAGCATTGGTATATTGATCTATTGTTGAGGGTATGTTTTGAACCTGCGAAAATGAGGAGTATCAAGTGTGCAATTACTGTGATATCCGAAAATTGTGCCCCCCATGCTTTAGAGTATGCCATTTATGTAAACTATAATGTGAATAGTGTGTTCCCCTATACTATCCCCCAAGTGGTAAAGCAGCTTGGACACATTTGCAGAGTTTTGTGTTGGAATTTTACACACTAGCAGTATTCACTATTCTCCCCTACCCCAAACCCCAACAACAAGCAGTATTCACTATTTTTTTCCCCAGAAGTTCCTTCCCCCCTTTTTAAAAATTTTTTATTGTGAAAATGTCAGAGTACATTGGTTTTCCATTCAACAATTCATATGCATTTTGTCTTGTGACATTGATTACAATCCCTCCCCACAATGTAGCAGCGCTCTTCTCACTTCTCCCTATGTTTACTTTTTCTCTTTGTCCTTTCTATCCCTCCCTGCTCTTTGCACTTTATCCCTGTGCAAATGCTGCCATTTGATCTTGTACAATGGTTGCTCTAGGGAGTACATATCTCCCTTGTGTTATTGTTTACCTTACAGACCTGCCTATTGTTTGTGGCACTGTAGGTTAATGCGCTGAACTTCAAAGTCAGTTTGACCCGCAAAGTCAGTGGTTCAAGCCCACCAGTTGCTCCTCGGAACCCTCCCCATACAGGGTTGCTATGGGTTGGAACCAACTCAACAGCATTTAACAGTAACTACAAATTGTTTGACTTAAAGTGAAGATATGGGGAGTATTCAATTATTGTTGAAGAGTAAATTCTCAGGTGAAAAATGGTTGGGAAGGCAGGGTGTGACTATAAAGGACTTTATCCAAGTATAAAGAGCTTGTATTAACTTGTAAATAATGGGCTACTGCTGCAGGGTTTTAAGAGTAATTGATTGCTAATCTTAGGGTTAAGTAAATTACAAATATTAGAGTTGAGTAAATTATCATAGAGCTGCAAGTGATGAACCTAAAATTCATTCTAGGTGTTAGTAGCTTTGAAGCAGTTTTCACTTCTTTATACCACTCCAAGGAGTTCTGGTAACACTGTAATATAAGCACTGGATTGCGCACCACGAGGTTGGCCCTTTAAACCAGCTGCTCCGTGAAAGAAAGATGGGACTTTCTGCTTCTGTAAAGATGTAAAGCCTCAGAAATCCTATACATGGTCATGCTATGAGGCAGAAGCAAGTTATACCACTACTTCTAATCTATTGGCTATGAAAATAAGTATTTCACAATTGTATGTGAGTTATACTCCAATGAGTAACTATACTTTAGGAAATAGACTCTGTAATATCAATTTTGTCTGTTCAAAGGTCCCATACTGTGCTTGATTGTGCTAGGCAAACTTGCCAGCTATGTATCTTTTCAGAAAAGTATTATTGTTATATTCTGAACTCATAGTTGTTATTAGATCCTGTCCTGTCAGTTCTGACTCATATGTACAACAGAATGAAACACTGTTGGTCCTGTGTCATCTTCTCAGTTGCTGCAAACACTGTGTCTATTCAGCTTGTTGAAGGTCTTCTTTTTTGCTGACCCTCTACTTTACCAAGCATGATGTCCTTCTTCATGGACTGGGTCTCTCTTGATAACATGCACACAGAAGTTTCAGCCTCCTTCTATGGAGAATTCTGACTCTACTTCTTCCAAGACAGATTTTTTGTTCTTCTGATAGTCCTTTGTATTTTCAGTATTCTTCCCCCAATACCATAATTCAAAGACATCAATTATTCAGTCTTCCTTATTCATTGTTTAGTTTTACCATGGGGATGGTAAAAAGACCATTGTTTGGGTCAGGTGCACCTTAGTACTCAAAAGTGACACTTTTGCTTTTGAACATTACAAGAGGTCTTTTGTAACAATTTTGTCCAGTGCAATATGCCCTTTGATTTCTTGACTGCTGCTTCCATGATCCAAGTAAAATGGAATCCTTTGAAAATGAAATCAAAGTGTTCTCATAGAAGAAACCATTTCAGATTGCTTAGTAATAACAGCTAAAAAAATTATTTGTGTGTGTGAGTAGTTTCAGGGTTCCTGGTGGTCTAATGGGTTAAGCATTGGGCTACTTACTGAAAGTTTGGAAACTCACCAGCTGCTTTGTGTGAGAAAGATCAGGCAGTTTGCTTCTGTAAAGATTTCATAGCCTTGGAAACCAACCCTATAGGGTAATTCTACTCTATCGTATTGGGTTGCTGTGAGTCACAAACAACTCAATGACAGTGGGGTTTTTTGGTTACAGATAGCTATTTGATACTGTTTTATTTTAAACATTTCGCATTGTGTTTTGCAACTTTTGATTATTTTTTGAACAACTGGTTTTTGAATGTCATGTGGCACTGTAGGATAATTACAGGACCGTTAATCACAAGCTCTTCAGTTCAAACCTACCAGCTGCTCCTTGGAAACCCTATACAGAGTCGCTATGGGTCTGAATAGACTTGACAGCACTTAACAACAACATTATGTGCCAAACACTGTTTTAAGAGTTGGAGAAGAAGTAATGAACAAAGCAGACAAAAATTCCAGCACTGTCATCCACCATATAAATAAGAAAAAAGAAAAGAACCACATGATCATATTGATTGATGCAGAAAAGGCATTTGACAAAATCCAACATCCATTCCTGATAAAAACACTCAACAAAATAGGAATTGAAGGGAAA